AGATGAAAAGACAGGACCTTGTAGAGAATTAAGGGGAGCTCAAGTCTCCATTAAGAATTAAAAATACCCTAGGTTAACTATAGCAAACAATACACAAAGGGTTAAATATATTACCAAAGTGATTCTATTTTAAAGCTAAATCTTGAAATGATTAAGCACTATAAAGATCTGTCACCAAGAAAGATGTGAGGCCTACAACAATACATTTTACAAATAACCTGTAACTGTGCCACTGTGGTGTCAGAAACCCTAACAATTGACTTGTCTAGCTATTACATTAGTGCTTGTTGGGGTGTATGGTTTGCCAGTTACCTTAACTGTGGACACTTGGTCTTGCAAATCATCAATAGCTGTGGGACCAATATAAGGGAGAACTTTCTACATAGTAAAGTATACGCTGGTGATGGTGGTGGAGAGAGGGTGGAGGCAGGTGTACTGTTGTGAAGAAATTATGGTACTGCTGTGAAGAGACAGTGATGCTGTTGTGAAGAGAAACCCTGATTTTATGCTACAGTAAAAGGGTTTCCATGCTAGATTATGGAAAGAAAATAGAACTTTAAGTACTCTGAGATAGTTTGCTGGATGATTTAGGAAACCACAGGTTTCTTGCATCTGTGCTGAACTGAACCTAGATTGTCATTGATTGAGAAATTTTGCCTTGTTAATCGGAGTTGGAACTACTGGACTAAACCTGGATGGGAAATGTGTGATATTCTTTGCCTTCCCTACTCTCGAATCTATTCTCTAATAATCCCCACAATTGTGACTAATGACTATGAGTCAACAACAAATTAATGGACCCAATGATTCCTAGAAATAGATGCAGGAGCATGTGGGGTGGCATGTCTGACCAAGTAGCTATTTGTTTGGGGTTATGGATATTGTTAATGGGGACAGTTCCTCTTTATGTAGCAGGTAGAAGTCAGATTTCAGTCACTCCTATGTAGCACTGTGCCTTACACAACCACACAGGGTATTTCAGAACAGATGAGCAAACTAAAAGTTGTAGTTTATAAGAAGACAGGAACAAAAAAAAAAAAAAAAGAAGAAGACAGGAACAACCTGGTAGAAAAGGAGGAGAAACTCAACTTCCCATCAGAAATTCAAAATCACTTTATTTGACCGAGGTCTGTAAGATAGGTAAGAAGTTAAGCATATGAAGATAGATTCTAGTTGTAGTTGTGTGACTTTAAGTGAAGTATTTAATTCTACAACTTAATTACCCCATATCCCATGAGATATAGGAATAAAGAATTATAATTTTCAGAAGGGGCTCTGGTGCAAAGGGAGGTGCACTGCTCACCCAAAAGAGATATCTTTCTGGTAGTTCAAATCCACCAGTAGCTCCAAGGAAGAAAGTTGAGCAATATCGTCCCTTGTGCCATACAGCCTCCCCAAACAGGTTTGTCCTGGAGAGGGTGAAGCCAGAATTCTCTTTGGAGTCAAGGATTCTGAAGCATCATCTGACATGCTTTGGGCATGCTTCAAGGAGACTGGTCCTTGGAGAGGGACATCATGTTTGGGAAAGTGGAGGGATGATGCAGGAGAGGAAGACCCTCGATGAGATGGATGGATTCTGTGATTGGAATGGAGGAAATGAGTGTGTTTGAGACGGCAAGGTTGGCAGAGGATAGAATGGCATTTAGGGATCTTGTACATAGGGTCGCTATGAGTTGCAAGCAGCTTGATGGCACATAACAACAACAACAGTTATCATTATATATAAAAAGTTTATTCTACATAAAATACTTTATATCTGGTACATAGTGGTGTTATTATTTGCCTTTAAGTCACTCCTATAAGCAATGGGTTGCTACCATTGTAATCGAAGATTTTCATTGGCTGGTTTTCAGAAGTAGATCATATTGTCTTCTTAAATTATGTTACTTTGAAGCTTCAACATGCTCAGCGTTATATCAGTATACAAACCTCCATTAACAGAGGGGTAATGGCTAAGCATTAGAGAGACTATATACCCCATAAATAATGCTTCTAATCAATTGTTGTTGCTGTGTACCCTCCAGAGGGTTTTCAGAAGAAGTTAATGGGGGAGATTGTCCATCCTTCTCTCCCTCAGAGCAGTTGGTGGCCTTGAAACTTGTGCCTTCAGGACTGCAGCACAACTTCCTGCCACTAGACCACATGTGGCTTTTTAATTATGTCATATTTTATCAAAGGCAACAGGGACATTTATTTATGGCAAGTTAGCTTAAAACCATCTACTTCATTCTTATAAATACTTATGTTTGCAGGTTTTTTCCTGTTATTGGTGTTAGGTGCCATTGAGTTGAGTACGACTCATAGAAGACTATGTTAAAAAGGATATGGTGTAGGTAAGATGTGTATTGTGTAAGGCCTGGATTCTCTACTCGTGGTTCTGACCTGATCATTCATATCCAATTACTCCATTTTTTTATTTCCTTTTTTAATGTGCATTCACATAGACCAGAAAATAAACTCTCTCAGCTTAACAACTTTTTGACTATTTATTTGGGGATCTTTTCCTTGGTGAAGAGAAAATAAATATAGACTTCTGAACAGTCTTGTTATGTGACCAAATAAATCAGATTGATTACATCTGCGGAAAGAACCTCTGGAGAAACTCAATATCAGCTGTGAAAACTAGGCCAGCAGTTGATTGTGGAACAGACCACCAGCTACTCATAAGCAAGTTCAAACTGAAGGTGAAGAAAATTAAACCGATTCCATGGCATCCAAAATATGACTTTGAGTTTGTCCCACCTGAATTTCAGAACCATCTCAGTAACAGGTTTGAGGCCTTGAACACTAATGAGGAAAGACCAAATTAGATGTGGGTGGATGTCAAAGGTGTCATCCAAGAAAAGTGAAAACGGTCATTACAAAGGCAGAAGAGAAAAAAAAAGACCAAAATATATGTCAGGAGAAACTCTGAATATTGCATTGAAGCACTAAGAAGCCAAAGCAGAAGGAAGAATTCAAGATACTAAAGAGTTGAGCAGAAGATTTTAAAAGGCAGCACAGGAAGATAAAGTAAAATATTACAATGAAATGTGCAAAGAGCTAGAGCCAGAAAATCAAAAGGGCCAAACTCATTCAGCATTTCTTAACCTCAAGGAACTGAAGAACTAATTTAAACCCCAAGTTTCTATAATCAAGGATGCTTTAGGTAGAATATTAAATTATCCAGGAACTATTAAAAGAAGATGGAAAGAATATACTGAGTTACTATTGAAAGAAATTAGGAGACACAGAATAATTTCATGAAATAGCATATGAGCAAGAGCCTATGGTGATGAAGAAAGAAGTTCAAGCTGCTTT